CCCCGGAAAAGCCAGGGTAGGGCTTTTAATAATGAAATTTTTTATCCCACGGAGGGATGGGGGGGGGGGGGCGACTCAGAGTTCTGATCCTACTGTGAATTTGTTAATCAGAGATACACACTGTATCAGCCGTTTCATAAAATTAGAAGAGTTAGGAATATAACATGTTGCTATATGAAATAAAGAAAAACAGCCACAATATAGAGGGTTATTCAAAATAATAGATACATCTTTATTCATGTATATTTCCTTCAGTATTAAAGACTACCGAAAGAGCATAATCGTGTAACCGACCAATCTAGTGAGCGCGACTGTGCCACCTTGGAACCTTCAGAACAGTTCTGAGTGTGTGGGATGAGTTCGGCTACCGCTTATATGTTTGCCGAGCAGCAGGTGGCGGCCATATTGAACACCTATAAGGCCATTTTGGAAGTTTTTGTTCTTTAGACTTTCCCCTCTCTCTCTCTCTCTCTCTCTCTCTCTCTCTCTCTCTCTCTCTCTCTCTCTCTCTCTCTCTCTCTCTCTCTCTCTCTCACTCTTGCATGTATATTGTTAACATATAACGTATATTCAAGGAAATATACATGAATGTAAATGTATCCATCGTTAAAGAAACACTGTATAATGAAACGATTACGTGATTGGGTCGAGGACACAAAAGAATTCAAGTGGCAATGGGTGGCCAAAGCTGAACAGTTGGTCTATTAATACCTACACCTACCTGGTATGACCGGATGTTATGGATGTTTGTTTCTTGTCCAGTGAGTTACGATTCAGTTTCGAAGAAAGGTAATCGCTGTTCTGTTTGTTTCCACAGCCACAGCCGCTTTGTTTGGTATTACCTCCACTTTTTAATTTCGTCTGCTTCTTCTTCATCACATGAAGTTTGTAAGCAAAACATGGCACAGTCGGTGTAGTGGCAGACATGGAGGAGTTGGACTCATGGTCGTCGTTGTCGCTGTCCGCAAAACATTCGAAATCATCACTGTGGAAACTTTCGATACGAGCCAGGGGTGTCCTTAAGTTTAACCAGGTCGGTGTCGTAGGAGATTTCGCCTTTCCCACTCACACTCTTCCGACCAGAACCGGAGTTTTTAGAAAAACTAGCCGAGCTGCCGGCACGTTTCATGATGAGGTCTTCATCTGGAGTGACTGAAGAATTCTGTCTGTGGACCTTTTGGGATTCAGCTACCGCTATTGATGAGGTGGCTGGGGGCTTGGCTTTGGCCAGAATGTCTTCACGAAATGTGTCAGATATAAGCTCGGTCATGCTATCTACATGATCTTCGTTTTCTTCCAAGCATTCGGAGGACAGAAGCAGTCCCTCAAAGTGATGCTCAAGTTCTGTTATACTATCTTTTCGAACAAACACAGGCCCTTCCGCACCGAGGAGTATGTTATTCTCACTGACTATGGCCAACCCGTTTGATTTGTCTTCAAATTGCATAGCTGGAGCTCTATCCGCGAGATGGATATTGGCATTCAAATGAGTGGATTTTGAATGCGATGGCAGTGATTTAGACTGGGGTGGAAAAGATGTGGCAGATATGGAATCTATTCCGGTGGATTCTATCCTAGATTTTTTCTGGTATTTTCTATCACTCTTGACGTTGAACAAACCCTCGTCAAGACTCGCTTTGCTGGCTACATCCAGCGAAAAGAAATCGTTTTTGTGCAAGTGTGTTATACTACGCGCATCAATAGTCTGTACTTGGGAAGCATCCTTCTTGGCTTGAGACGAGATTTGCAGAAGATCCACTGATGAGCTCGGATTAGAGCTATCAGCATAATGAACTTCGACACTAGTCAGCGGGCCGTTAGGCCCTGATATCAAAGGTTTGAGTATCGGTAGCAAATTTGAGCTGATTCTGCTGTTTTCAAGGGAAGGTGGGTAGCACTCTTTCAAAATCAGTTTCACAGGCCTGGTGGCACTTTGTGCTCTATGACCAGTTGGTGATAACTGAGCATCATCTGCAGCATGGTTGGCACCTTCGTGGCTGGGCACACATATCAAAGGATTACTCCCCATTTCTAGATTCGGAACCTGAAGAAAATTTTTGCTCTCTATCCCCGTGTCCAAAATCTTCAGAAGACTGTTATTTGACCCCTGCAGGGGGACAGTGAGAAGATTGTTTTTGTGCATATCATAGTGAGGCACTCCTTGTAAGCTCTTTCGAACAGTATCCACAAAATCTACACTGTGCTTTCTGGATGCAACTACACCATGTGATCCGGCAGTAGAGTTCCTTCTCATTTTCAACGAGGCTGTTTTTGTACTTCCCCGGTGAAGCGGGCCTTCTCCAGAAATTGACGGAGCACTGCGCCCATCCCTGGTCGTGCGGAGCATCGCCGATACATTCGAGCCTTCATCTTTCTCCAAAGAATGATGGTCTACTGAACCGGAACGCTGGAATGAACTTTTCCTTCGCTGTGAAGGACCACACGAACGAGCTCTTCTCCGCGACAGTTTGAAGGAGGAGCTGCGACGAAAAGGGTTGTGGTTTGAAGACATGGGTTCGCTCCCAGGTACCGAGAGACTGGTGCTCACAGGAATGTGGTGGTCGTTGTAAGGAGTTTGCTGCCGACTGTCTTGAGTTGGGGAGAGTAGGCCTGCTGCTGCAGCCCTCTCTTCTCGGATCATTTCCCGCTCCAGTTCCATAGCTTGACGCTCCATATAATCCTGTAGATCAAAACAACAAATGTGTCAACGGTGATCATTACAACTTACTGATGTATATAGATTTACTCTATGTAAGCCCAGTTACGTACAGATGTACTATTTGATATAGACACATAAGGTTAGTGCTGATCCTGGCATATGAACAACTTTACATAATGTGTTAACTGTGATTCCTGCAAACTGAAAACTTTACACAGATTCTGTCTGTGTGAACCGTGACTCCTGGGAACTTACAACTTTACATAGACATGTTCAGTGTAAAGAGTTGATTCTTGCCAACTTACAACTTAACATAGACATGTTCAGTGTAAAGAGTTGATTCTTGCTAACTTACAACTTTACATAGACATGTTCAGTGTAAAGCCTTGATTCTTGCCAACTTACAACTTTACCTAAATATGTTTCATATAAACCGTTGTTTCTTGCAGAATTACAACTTTACATAAATATGTTCAGTGTGAACCGTTAATTCTAGCCAACAGACAACTTTACATAGTTCCGTTCAGTGAAAATTGACTCCTGCGAAATTACGCAGAGAGCAGAAAACACGAACTGGTAGCTCTAACTACGATCCCCTGTGAATATCCGAACCACCTGCACTCAAAAACGTATGAAGACTGAAGTCAGAAGCCAAACTTATGATTTTCTGAACGCCGGGCAAACAGCTAAATCACTTGGCCACGAAAACTCCGAACATAATTCTGCAAACTAGACAAAAACCATACTCCGAGGGAATTTATATCTATATTTTAACACAACGCTCCAAAATATTTGACTGCACGTGTAACAAAATCAGCTCTGCCTTTCGCAGTCGGCGTCTGTGTGGTTGTGGGCCCAGTTTCGTAATTTCAATCAACAAGTGTTCGAAATTAACTGCATAGGTAGATGAAGGTATGAACCTCTAACCGTTGAGAAGTAATGAAAAACTTCTGAACGTAAAATTAACCTCAGACATTCAACACATGACGGGATTGTCTGGCTCTGTAATATGCAACTCACCATACTCAGTCACAACCTTAAAAGAATACATTGCAATCAAAATGCAAACTGGGTGCAGACGTGTTCATAGAATGAAAGAGTGTGCCCTAATGATATCCAGTTACTGACGTTTTAAAGCTTTTTGTTTTATATAGCAGTGCCTGAACTATAAAAGAAAAACAGTGGCTTTAAAATCATTTATTATCATTTGCTTCATCCCAAAGAAAACGGTGCCAGGTCCAAAACAAAACAGACAGTGCTGTGTCCAAATAAAACAGACAGTGCTTGGTCCAAATAAAACAGACAGTGCTTGGTCCAAATAAAACAGAGAGTGCCTGATCCAAATAAAACAGTGCAGACTATGAAAGTGCCAGTGATACTTAATTAACCTGTGAAAGACAAACATTAATGAAATAATGGATCAATTAATGAATACGTGCACAGACACGAGCTTGTAAATTAGTGCTAGACATGAGTGTCTCTGTCTGTGTGAGTGTAAGTGTGCATAATAATAATTATAATTTACAATATGGTTGAAGTGCATTAAACTGAAATAGACCAACATGAAAACAAATACATTCATATACGAGAACAATAATATTGGAAGCCGCGGTGGCACAGTGGTTAGCTACTTCTCTGTACCGATAAATGAGCTGGGTTTATATCCACATGTAGGCGAATGTGTATATAAATGGCGTAATCTCTTTTGACAACCTAGCCTAAAATGGATACAATGAAACGCCACAGAAAGTACAAGAAACTGGTTGGAATTTGATCACATCACCCTTCGGTTTTTTGTTTTTTTTTTTTTTTTTTGAGGATGGGAGAGGAGTGAGACAGACAACCTATGTCTTCTTCCTCACAGGTTTTCTGTTTCGTTGTTTTGGAGTGTGCTTTGGGGTATAAGAATGCACAACTCTTTGTTGAGAGAGCGAGTCTATGGTGTCACTGCCTGAGTGTCAGTAGTAGAAGTAGTACTTTCCTCAAATGTGCTAGTATCATTTACTGGAAAGTGTCCGTTTGTGCGCCTTGTAAATGGGCTTTTAGGGGAATCTGTTTTTCCATCTGTTCATAGTTTGCATGGTTGTCCTCTTCTTCTCCCTCCCCCCCCCCCCCCCCCACCCCCTCGGGTCTGTACATCATTGCTTTCTGTAGTATACAGTTTGCCAGAATCCGCGTTACATCCGTAAAGACAAATAGTAAGAAATTGATCACATCAACTCTCGTGTTTTGGGGGGTATAGGAGAGGAGTTAAGCAGTGTATGTGTTTCCCTCGCCAACTTTTTTTCTATGTTTTCTTTTTCGTTGTTTGGGCGTGTGCTTTTTGGTATAAGAACGCACACGTCTTGTTTGAGCGAGAGTGAGCCTCTGTAGTAACTATCTGAGTGTCAGCAGTAGAAATAGTATTTTCCTCAACTGTACTAGTAGTCTCCACTAGTTCTACTTGTTGTTCTCTTTTATATTGTTTATTCCACATAAGTTAAAATCTTTTCTGAAAGTCACCCTTCATTACAAGATCTCTCCTTTTCAACCTCTTCCCTATTTCTGAAGTTGCCGTTTTCTCTCCGCTGGGGTATAAGAATTGGAGTACAGCATGATCTATCTGATGCTACAATGTCTGACAGGGCCCTTTACTTGTTAAGGACATAAAGTTCTTTCCGGTCATCACAGGATATTGCGATCTCAGAGAATGAACACTAGACTGGCATGTTGAAGTGAGAATGAGTCAAGACATTTAGGTACAAGACGATAAGTCAATGGCGACAAGGCATTCACGGGGCTAATATCCATTTAAGGACATGAATTTCCCGTGGGTCATAATAAGATACGGCGATCTCAGAAAATCCACACTAGACTTGTGTGCTGAGGTCAGTAGAGTCAAGGAGTTTGTTTACAGCAAGTTATGTCTCAGGCGACAATGCATGCATGGTTCCGAAAGCCTTTGAGGACATGCAGTTCCTGTAATTAGATACGGCGATGTCAGAGAATCCACACAAGTCTTGCAGGCTGAAGTCAAGAAAGAAAGTCAAGATCATAAGAAGAAACTCCACAGGGCAGCATATACAGCAGGAGTCTACCAATCATCAGTAGAAGTAACCTCTCGTCGACAAATGTTTCGGCCCACTAGCTCCTAGACATTTTCAGAGAGTGGGCCCACCTGAGTTCATGAAGCTCAGGGTTGGTTTCCCCTGCTGCACGCATTAACGGATGTCATTCGGACAGGGACAAGACGAATTGGTGATTTTGCCAAAGGTAGTGTGAGATGAGAACAGATATTTGAGCATAGCAGGTAAAACTACTGTGAACGGCAGACAAGCCATGTACCAGGTAGATATCATGAATGCTCTACGAGAAGTTTTCGAGAATCAAGAGATGACTGAATCTGCAGCCATGACCAGACTGCAAGAGCACTGTGCAGGCAGCCATAGAAGAAAAAGAAACCAATACAGAACTGGTGTCGTCAGCCGCTACACGCTGCGGGATTTACTGAGGAGGGGATCCGAGCACTGAGGATAATCTGACGACTAAGTAACCATAATCTGAAATGACAGTCAGTGAAAAGGATGCCTGACATCTTAAAGGACTTGGAGTTGTTGCCTGTCGTTATAAAAGAGGCTGATCTTCTTCTTCTTTTGTTCGCCTGAAATAAGTTGTCGATATCAACAATATTGTCTCTCTTATAACTTTCACTGTCATGTTGAGGTTCGTTCAGAGGTCCATAAAGTTTACGTTCCATTGTGTATTTTTCAAGGCCGAAAGGTTTGCCTTACTGTGTCAAATTTAATGAAGTCCTGGAGTACATGTTCCGGTGTCTGGGGCACCTTTGCACAGGTACACGTGGCTGATCCGCCTATTTTGAATTTTGGGTACATGAGGTTACGTTATCGATTGTGCCCTGTTCTTGGGCGAAGGATACTGACTTCTTCTAATATGTCCAAAACAAAAAAAAGTCGTCTTGTGCTGGAGCTGGTGGTTTCCTGATCGATTTCATGATGCTTTTCTTTAGGTGGTATGTTACTGGTACATCCGGCTGCTCTTCTATAGCACCTTCTTCTGCAAATTGACCAGCTTTTTTTCATTTCCAGACACTCCACAATAGGACGGTATCCACTGCATTGCAACAAGCATGCTGAAGTCAAGAGACAGCACAATATATATGATGTGACAATACGTGAGACTCCTTTATCTCTTAAGGTCAAGAAGTTATTGAATGTCATCACAAGACATACCGATCTTAGAGAATACCCACTAGACTGTCATGCTGAAGTCTAGAGCCATGATGGTAGTTGGTGTTTGTGGAAGACTCCATCGCCAAATAGACAATCAACCGTTAGTGGTGTTTGTGGAAGACTCCATCGCCAGATAGACAATCAACCGTTAGTGGTGCTTGTGGAAGACTCCATCGCCAGATAGACAATCAACCGTTAGTGGTGCTTGTGGAAGACTAAACACCGGATAAACAATCAGCCTTTAGTGGTGTTTGTGGAAGACTAAACACCGGATAAACAATCAACCGTTAGTGGTGTTTGTGGAAGACTCTCTCACCAGATAGACAGTGTTTGTGGAAGACTCCATATCCAGATAGACAATCAACCGTCAGTGATGTTTGTGGAAGACTCCATCACCAGATAGACAATTAACCGCTAGTGGTGTTCGTGGAAGACTCCATAACCAGAAAGACAATTAACCGTTAGTGGTGTTCGTGGAAGACTCCATCACTAGACAGACAATCAACCAACCGTTAGTGGTGTTTGTGGAAGACTCCATCACTAGATAGACAATTAACCGTTAGTGGTGTTTGTGGAAGACTCCATAACCAGATAGACAGTGTTTGTGGAAGACTCCATAACCAGATAGACAATTAACCGTTAGTGGTGTTTGTGGAAGACTCCATCACTAGACAGACAATCAATCGTTAGTGGTGTTTGTGGAAGACTTCATCACTAGACAGACAATCAACCGTTAGTGGTGTTTGTGGAAGACTTCATCACTAGACAGACAATCAACTGTTAGTGGTGTTTGTGGAAGACTTCATCACTAGACAGACAATCAACCGTTAGTGGTGTTTGTGGAATACTCCATCATAGACAGACAATCAACCGTTAGTGGTGCTTGTGGAAGACTCCATCATAGACAGACAATCAACCGTTAGTGGTGTTTGTGGAAGACTCCATTACTAGACAGACAATCAACCGTCAGTGGTGTTTGTGATAGACTCCAACACCAGATGGACAGTCAACCGTTAGTGGTGTTTGTGGAAGACTCCATTACTAGATGGACAGCCAACCGTCTCCTCATCCGATCGTCTTTCTCTTGAACCTTGTGGTGTCGGAGTGTACACTGCAGGAAGGAGTCCGTTCGTGAGCCTCACATATGTTGGTAGATATTCTGTTACCCCTCTGTGACCATCGTTTAAATTGCCTGTTTGCCCTCCTTTTATTCATTATTGTTGTACTCTGTCTGTTTGCAGCTGAGATAGATGACCGAACCATTTCATTGGATATAGTATTCCTGATTTCAGTGTATTAAAAGGCACTTAAAGAGAGTTTTTACAGACACGACATAGAGGTATATTTAGTGATGTGCATTAGGAGATAACAACTATGGTACAGCAGATAATACAGTTTACACAACAGCGTATCATAATATAAGAAAACATACATATACACATAACAGTACGATAGAACCTTGAAGATCGGAGTACACACTGCAGGAAGATAGAAACGTTCGAAAAACACATACACACACACTCACACCCCTCAGTGACCATCGTTTAAAAGAAAATAATACCCTCGCATAGATTAATTATTGAACATTACAAATCTGTTTGCAGCAAGATATGATGACTGAACATAAGAAATTTCATTGGAGATGCTGTATATTCCTGATATCAGTGTATAATAAGGCACTTACGCAGAGTTTTTTACAGACAGAAAATAAGAGGTATACCATCCACATGTGATGTAGGAGATAACACATCTATGGTACAGCAGATAATAACGCCTACACAGATGCAGTATAGAATAATTATAGGATAATACCGTATACGCACAGATGTAGGATAGAACATTAGAAGATAATAACCGTCACACAGATGTGAGATAGAACATTTGAGGATAACAACGCACATACAGATGTACATAGAACACAGAGGATACAACACACATACAGATGTAGGATAGAACTTTAGAGGATAACAACCCCTCGCACAGATGTAGGATAGAAACATCAGAGAAATAACACTGCAAACACAGATGCAGGGATAGAACATTAGAGGAAACACAAAACACAGATGTAGAATAGAACATTAGAGGATAATATCACTACCCACACAGTTGTAGAATAGAACATTAGAGGATAATACCGCCCACACAGATGCAGAATAGAACATCAGAGGATAATAACGCCCACACAGATGTAGAATAGAACATTAGAGGATAATACCGCCCACACAGATGTAGAATAGAACATTAGAGGATAATACCGCCCACACAGATGTAGGATAGAACATTAGAGGATAACAACGCCCACACAGATGTAGGATAGAACATTAGAGGATAATACCGCCCACACAGATGTAGGATAGAACATTAGAGGATAACAAGGCCCACACAGATGCAGGATAGAACATTAGAGGATAATACCGCCCACACAGATGTAGAATAGAACATTAGAGGATAATACCGCCCACACAGATGTAGGATAGAACATTAGAGGATAATACCGCCCACACAGATGTAGGATAGAACATTAGAGGATAACAACGCCCACACAGATGTAGAATAGAACATTAGAGGATAATACCGCCCACACAGATGTAGGATAGAACATTAGAGGTTAACAACGCTCACACAGATGTAGGATAGAACATAAGAGGATAACAACGCCCACACAGATGTAGGATAGAACATTAGTGGATAATACCGCCCACACAGATGTAGGATAGAACATTAGAGGATAATACCGCCCACACAGATGTAGGATAGAACATTAGAGGTTAACAACGCCCACACAGATGTAGGATAGAACATTAGAGGATAACAACGCCCACGCAGATGTAGGATAGAACATTAGAGGATAACAACGCCCACACAGATGTAGGATAGAACATTAGAGGATAACAACGCCCACGCAGATGTAGGATAGAACATTAGAGGATAAAAACGCCCACAGAGATGTAAGGATAGAACATCAACAGAATCACACCGCCATTACAGATGTAGGTTAGAACATTAGAGGATAGCTCCACAGAGATGTCAGAAATATGGAAGACTTAGAATAGGCAATTTTGATTATCTACAGAAAAACAAACAGTCAAAACAAATTAGAACAAATAACAATTAATCATTAAAAAATACATGCACAGATAGAGAATTTTCTTTTACATTAAAACAATACTTTCAAACTTCTGGATTTATATTTTAAATGTGAAACATGAAACATTATTCTTTCAGTGTTATACACACATTTAATTCATTGTGGATTGAGCCTTTCTTATACTGATGTGTGATTGTCTCAGTCCTTATCGGTCCCAAGATAGGACCAGAAAGGAGGAGGGTTAGGTGTGTGGCGAGCGTTCTGACTCCGTATAACAATTCTGCTGTTTTACTCACACAAATGAAAGCCTATCTGGAAATTAACTACCTAAATGGTTTGTGGTGAACTATTTACCTAGGCGATTTTGTGTGGTGCACAGGTAACCGAGCCAATTTTGTGTGGTGCACATGTAACCGAGTCAATTTTGTGGTGCACAGGTAACCGAGCCAAGTTTGTGGTGCACAGGTAACCGAGCCAAGTTTGTGGTGCACAGGTAGCCGATCCAAGTTTGTGGTGCACAGGTAGCCGAGCCAAGTTTGTGGTGCACAGGTAACCGAGCCTAGTTTGTGGTGCACAGGTAACCGAGCCAAGTGTGTGGTGCACAGGTAACCGAGCCAAGTTTGTGGTGCACATGTAACCAAGCCAAGTTTGTGGTGCACATGTAACCAAGCCAAGTTTGTGGTGCACAGGTAACCGAGCCAAGTTTGTGGTGCACAGATTTTCCAGCCAACAGTTTACCAAGCCAATTGTGTGTGTTGCAAAGTTTACCTAATCTCGTCGTGTGCGGTGCACAGTTTAGCAATCCAAGTATTGTGCGGTGCACACTTGAGCAATCCAAGTGGTGCGTGGTGCACAGTTTACTTACTCAAGTGGTGTACGGTACACAGTTTACCTAACTAAGCGGTGTACAGACCACGAGTAACCTATCCAAGTGTTGCGTGGTGCATAGGTGCACAGTTCACCTAACTAAGCAGTGTGCGGTCCACGGGTAACCTATCAAAGTAGTGTGGCTATGACTTGACGCTACTATATTATCTTGTGTGATCTCTAAAATCGACCACTCTAGTTTCATCAAGTCTGATCTCAACCCAATTATTATTTTCCCTCGTGCTAAAATAATCCGTACAGTCAAAATACGACAGTCGCTTCAGTCCCATAGAATTATTAATCAAATTTAGTTGCAATCGCAGAACCAACCCCCAACAGCCCCTGGCTGTTGTGTGGTTTTTCTGTGCAAGTTTGCCATACTGGACGGTCGGCGGATACCACTGTCGAAATACGCAAGTGCATGGCCATCAGCTGGGATCGAACCCGGCATTCCGGCAATACGAAGCGTTCACATCGACTTAGCCACAAAGCCGACAATCACAATAAGTGTTCTATTAAAACTGGTGCGGACAGCAAGTGAAAAACCGCCACATCAATTTCACCATAACAAGTTTCTAGGCGATCACAATTTACGACGAAGCGACGTCACAAATAGTTATATCGCATTATCTCCTCTTGATCTTCTTATACCTTGTGGTGTCGAGGTGAAATATCAACTGTGTGAGAGAGCCTTCTTGTTTGATTCATATATCGGGATTTCCATGAACTCTTATCGTCAGTCCATCATTTGCATTGCTTCCTCTTCACTTCCAGTTCGGTTTGTACATTGTTACGCTAAGTAGTATTTTGATTTATATCCATCTGAAGAAACTCTTTAATACTTCCGGATCAATGTTTCGCAAGTTTCGCTACAGATAAATGTAGCACCAGGTTCAGAACGGTCAAAGCAAACAAGATCTTCTTGCTGATTTTTCTTCTTCAGGATTCCGAGCCCTTGAGGTTCATTGCTGTAGATATCACTCGCCTCCGCTCATCTCTGTGATTGGCTTTTGCTCTTCGCTTGGTGACTCCCGGAGTTGTCAAGTCTGTTTGTATTTTATCTCTCCATCGTTGTCTCAGTCTCTCTCGTTGTCTAGTTTCAATCAGCGCTGACTATGGCTTTTGTATACTGTCCAGTTTTAACATATGGCTGTGAATCCTGGACAATCGGTAGGCAGGCTAAAGGCCTCATACAGAAGCAATGCGTAGAATTCTTTGGACTTTGCTAAAGATTAAAGCAATGCGTGCGTGCAGCTATTGTATAAATATAAATATGAACATTTTCGTACATTCTGCAGTTTACTGTAACGTCATAAAGACTATCTATCCCTTGATATCGCACACTATACTATGACAGTTAAAGCAATGCCTGTGTATCACACATTGTGCAGTTTAGTGCGACAGACCTTAGCAGTGTAAATCTTTTTTCTATATCGTGTAGTACATTGTAAGATATCGAAACAGTGCGTTTTTTCTTTTAAAGATAAGTATATCCTATACAGTTAACAGCAATGTATAAATTCTTCTAAACTGTAGTGGAAGATCTAATCTATGTGTATTATCTTCTGCAATGTACAGAATTCTGCAACAGATGTTAGCAATTCGTGAATGGTGCAATACAGCGTAGGCTGCGAAAGTTCAAAGCAATGTCTATTGT